ATATGTCTCTTCCCCCCCTTTCTCTATCTCTCTCTCCCTCTCTGAATCAATCTCTCTCTCTCTCTCTCTTCTCTCTCTCTCTCTCTCTCTCTCTCTCTCTCTCTCTCTCTCTCTCTCTCTCTCTCTCTCTCTCTCTCTCTCTCTCTCTCTCTCTCTCTCTCTCTCTCTCTCTCTCCCCTTCCACTGAAGCCCAAACACACACTTCCGAACATTTTCTTTGTCCACGCTGGTTGCACTCTACCGAACTCAATGTGTAAATTGTCCGTAAGCCTTTCTTAGATTGTGCAAAATGACCAAATCACTCCTATAGATTCCGATAGATTTTATAAAACTCATGCTCTTTTAGATTTTACTGTTTGCCACAAAAGAGAAATTGAGAAAAGAAGAGAAAACACAAACCTAACATTTGAATTCCAATACCGTTGAAGAGAGAGAAAAACAAATTAGCAGAGGAATGCGCGATCATGTATTTGTAATTACGTTCTGTGAAAAGTGAAAAGATTTTGATGGTACGCCTGGTTTCAACATGCCATCACCCCCCCCCCCCTTTCCTCCCCCTCCCATGTAATTTCAGATAGAAAAAAAAGTAATATATATATATATATATATATATATATATATATATATATATATATATATATATTATATATATATATATATATATATATACATACATATATACATATATATATATTGTATATATATGTATATATGTATATATATGTATATATATGTATATATATATATATATATAATATATATATATATATATATATATATATATATATATCTGAGTAAAGCACAATAAATTTCTCTAAACAGATCAGTTAAAACGATCTGTGACAAAGGTCTTCACCATAAACCCCACCCCCTCCCCCTCCCCCTCCCCTCGAAAGAAAAGCTATACATATAATGAGTAAATGGGTAAGATCACAGTATTGTGTATCCGTGAAAATGACAAAAAAATATATAAATAAAAATAAAAAAATGTTAAACGTTGCTGCTTTCGCTGTATCTTATCATTTATGTATATATAAGTCATGTTTATAATAATTAGGATTTTTTGTGATTGTATGTTGTGATTTTACAATTAACAACCATTTTGCTCCCTTTGTATTAAGTCAGGGACATTTGTAGCGAGTTTTTGCCCCTCCCGGACACCATAGAGCGAGAGAGTACTGTAGTTCAGAGCTCAATCCCTTTTCAGAAAAAAAAAATGTCCCTCTTGGGTAGCTGGCCCTTTAGAATCCCTTGGGCAATGTAGGTCTCTATGTTTTTTTTTTTTTTTGTTTTTTTTTTTTTTTACCCCCCTCCCCCTCCACTTCCTCCCTTCCTTCTAGTAGTTGTCTTTTTTTAATGTTCTTTTTTTTTTCTGGTTTCTCTCCCCCTTTTTCTAATTTTTACCCCCCAACCCCTCTCCACTTCCTCCCTTCCTTCTAGTAGTTGTCTTTTTTAATGTTTTCTTTTTTTTCTGGTTCCTCTCCTTCCCCCTCAATTTTGTTTTTCTTTTTCTTTTTGAGAGATTATTTTATCCCCCCCCCCTCCTCCTCCCTTCCCTTCTTCTAGTTCGTTTTTTAATCTTTTTTTCTGGTTTCTCTCCTTCCCCCTCAATTGTTTTGTTGTTTTTGTTTTTCTTTTTGAGAGAAATATTGAGAAGGATGTAAGTGAGCTGGGAGAGAGCTTGTGTTTCCTGGAGTCACATCTCTCTCGTTTCGTACCGGATGTACATGGCAATAATTGGGAAATATAGAAAAGAATATTAATTAAAGAATTTTAAAAAAAGGTAAATATATATTCTCCTCCCCACCCCAATTCTATCTCACTCATTCACTCTTCCATTTTTAAATCTATTTTCCACCTCCTCTTTTTCCCCCCTCTACAAGATAAATGTTTTGATATACATTCAAATACAATGTTCTTTCCCCCTTCCCCCCAATCTGTATTCGTATGAACATTTCCCCTTCCCCTTCTCTGGTTTATACAATAACATGTCCTCTCTCTCTCTTTTATTCCTGAGTTACCACAGCCATTTTGTGTGGGGGGAAAGTTGACCTCCCCCTCTTCCTCCCTCTCCCCAGCCCCCCCTTTGTATGGGGGTCTGTGCCGGTCCAGCTGAGAATCCGAGAGAAGAGAGACCGAAGGATCAAAGAATTGTCATAAAGATATTAAATTGTCGAAGATTGTGTGTCAAAGAACTCATCTTTCTTTAATGTATTTTCCTCGTTCGTGTGGTGAATATCTCGATCGTTTTCTCGTGATTGTGTGAAGATTGAGAAAGGGTTTCCTTAGAGCGATACAATAATACCCTGTGGATTGGTGTCTGGTGTGAAGTGTATACATAAATATATATTTTTGTTAGTGGCTACAAGAAGGATATTTTGGACCTTGGCGAGAGTGAATATTCTTGGATAATTCATGTGATAAAAATGGGCGAAGGAAGACTTTAAGTATCAGAAAAAAAAAGAAAAAAAGAAAAAGAAATATGCATTCTGACGATAACCGAAAAGATGGACATCAGAAATGAAGGAAAGTATGTCAGAAAATGTAGAATTTCGAGAAAAAAAAATGAAAGAAACAGAAAATGGAAGAGGAAACAGGAAAGTCAAACCATTATTCTACCTTTCTTGATAAATGTCTTTGTAAATAAGAAGCTCCAAGTTTCTAACGTAATATCAACCTCTTTGTATTTCTTCAAGACACACAATCTCGCAGTAGATCTTTCAAAAAAAAAAATCAGTTTCGATTTTTTTTTCTTCACATTTTAAAAAAATAATAATAATAATAATAAAAGGTTCTTCACATTTAAAAAATAATAATAATAATTTTCGAACATTTTTGAAAATGTCTTCAGCTCTTCACTATAGAACACGTATATATAAATCCTTTCTAGATCTAGATTTTTTAAAAGTTTCCTTCTAAATCATTAAAAAAAACATTATCAATTACTCCATCTTCTGAACTCTCAGAAAACACATGTTTTTTACTTCGAAGCAATTCAATAGTGGAAATTCTTTGCTTTAAAACACTTAAATGAAAAGATAAAAAGTTCTTCAATTCTCCACTAAAGAACATGAAAACGTGTTCTTTACTTCAGAGCATTTCAAAAAGGATATTTTGCCTTAAAACACTCCAATAAAAATCTAACAAGTTCTTCAGTTCTCCACTAAAGAACATTAAAAAAACGTGTTCTCTATCTCTACTTCAGAGCTTTCAAAAAGAAAATTCTTTGCTTTACAACAAAAATTAAAAAAAGAAAAAAAAGTTCTTCAGTTCTCCAGCAAAGAACATTTAAAGGGAAGTTCTTCACTTGCCCTCAGCTGACTGGTAGGAGGGGGGGCGGTGTCCCCCACCCCCTTAAATAAAACCCTTGTGTCAAACTGTACCGTGAGCAATTTAGATATCATTATAATTTTAGTTTCATAGATTCTTCTTTTATTGTCCTTCTTATCATTAACATGGAGAAAGAATGCCCATGTCAAAATATTTGTTCATAGGCAAAGGTACAATAGTTCTTTGTAAAATATATACTGTGAACAAACATTTATATATATATATATCACATACCATGAACAAAAATGTTTACATAATGTTTTTTTCATTTCTATGGATTCTAACAGTAAACAAGGGAATATATAGTGTCCTAATTGAGACATTTATGACATTTGAGTAAATTTTTACATTTTAGTTTTTTTATGAAAAAGTGTGTATAATAGGCACTGAACATCCGTTAGAATGAAGCCTATATAAATATTTATAAAATACGAGTAACATTAAACAATATTGTACATGATTCCGTTATCACAGAGAGCAAATACGCCTTTTATATATACAAAAAAATAGTCTTAAACGGTTCCACATTTTCTTTCATATTTTTTGGCACGGTTTCCAAAGTTCTTGATATAAAGTTTCTCTTAACTATTATATTTTGAGCACTTTTCTTGGTTTTAATTTGAAGGCCACTTTTTTGTCTTCTCTTTCTTCCTGTTTCAATTTCCGTTCGTTCCATAAACCTTTTTCTATTTCAGTTTTCATTGAAGTACTCTTTTGTCTTTTTTTCTTCTTCCTTCTTTGGCCTCCTTCGTTTCTTTATTTTCTTTCGTCCGCATTCCACATTTCTTTTCCTTCCTTCCTTTTTTTCCATCACTTCAAACTTATTATCTCCATTTCTTTTCGAACTATAATGCCCTTCAAAGTCATCAATTCCTCTTTTAATAAAGTTATCTCCTCTTGCTTCCTTCACTTCTCAAACACATTTACCGGTCTATGCTTATTCTCTCGTTTATTTATTCTCTTGGTTATCTTTTTTCGGTCACTTAAGGATGGCCAATCTCTTTTATCACAAACATCATCCTCTTTTTCTTTTTTCAAAAAAGAAAAAAAAATCAAAGATAAAAAAAGTTTATAATTTGGCTTCTTCGTCAACAGCGGCCAGATAATCCATCCATCAATGAATATAAAAATAATGATAACAATAATAATAATAATAATAATAATACAATAATATAACATCAATAATAATAGTAATGACAATAATTATAATAATAATAATAATAATAATAATAATAATAATAATAATAATAATAATAATAATAATAACAATAATAATAATAATGGCAATAATGATGACAATAATGGTATTGTTAGTGGCAATACTAATTACAACGATGATGATGATATTATTTTATCAATAATAATAATAACAGTAAAACAACATTAATAACAACAATCCCTCGTCCCTTTGCCTTCCCTTCTTCGTCATTTCAACGCAAAATTAACGTTCTTCTTTTAACGTCAAAAGGATTAACATACATCCGGGAATTCTTCTCCCGCGTCGCCAGAGTGACGCAAAGACGTATTCTTTTCCCTTTCGTGTTACCAGAAGACCTTTACGTTCTTTTCTGACGTTTTTTTGATTCGGACGCGTTTTTATCTGGCGTTTTTTCTCAGATTTGCGAGCATCTCTGAAGATCTTCAGAGTTCTTCTGGCTGAAGTACTTCAGATTTACGATTTATCCGGCCTTCTTTGACGTTCCTTACACCTTCGTTCTTCTCTGATGTCGCCAAAATAGGTCCGAGACGTTACGCCTCCAGGCTGACTCGAGCACGACGTTCTTCCTCGACGTCAAGGAGACTGACGTAAATCCGACGTTTGTTTTTCTTCTCGTTGCCAAGAAACGGAAGCAAACACGACGTTTTTCTTCCCGCGCCTCCAGTCCAACTCCAAAACACGACGTCCTTCTTCCAAAACTCCAAAACACGACGTAAACTCCATGTTCTTTCACCAGCGTAAGTCAAACTCCAGAACACGACGTAAACTCCATTCTTCTTTCGCAGCGTCATTCAAAACGACGTGAACACGGCGTCCTTTTCCATAAGCCAAAGCCAACTCCAATAAAATCCGACGTTCCCTTTTCTTTCCAGCGCCTCTTCCTTGCTCGCTACTCAAAACTTAAACAAAACGAAAAAAAAAACGCCATCCAAAACACACGCCATCCTTTCCTTTTTCACTCGCGTCACCAAGCCAAACTCCAGAACACGACCTTCTCTTTCTCTTCTTTCACTCGCGTCACCAAACCAAACTCCAGAACACGACCTCCTTCTCTCTCTTTTTCCCGCGTCACCAAACCAAACACGACCTCCTTTCTCTCTTTTTTAACGCGTCACCAAACCAAACTCCAGAACACGACCTCCTTTCTTTCCTTCTTCACCCGCGTCACCAAGCCAACGCGAAGACGACATTTTTCCTCCGGGTCTCCTCCTTCGTCGGAAAACCCGGGACGGACATGGAGCGCTGGGGCATGTCGACGCAGTAGTGGTAGCTCAGCCACGCCGTCGTCCGGTCTAGGGAGGTGCCGTTATAGAGGGCGTGGGGGAGGTCGCGCCGTTGGACGTCTCCCACGGTCCCTTCGATGGCGCTGAACATGTCGTCGCAGTCGCTCTTGAAGACGGTCGAGGCCACGCTGCGAGAGGACGAAGGGGGGGAGGGAGACCAGTGAGTGGAAAGTGACGGAGTGGAGGGATGAGGATGAGAGAATGGGATGAGTGATTGAGGAGGTGGATGAGGCTAATGGGATGAGTGGATAAAAAAAAAAAAAAAAAAAAAAAAAAAAAAAAAAAAAAAAAATATATATATATATATATATATATATATATATATATATATATATATATATATATATATATATATATATATATATATATATACATATATATACATAAATAAACAAACAGATTAATCAATCAATAAAAAGGACCAGATAAAACCATATCGTAATTAATTTAGTTCATATATTAGTTGTTTACTATCAATAATTGGATTTGGCAGAAATTTGCTGCTGAAAAGTTGTAGGAATTTGTGTGAGGCGAATATACCCAAAATAAATATATATAAAAAAATATTGGCTTGTCTGATGAAAATTCCGAACAGGATTTTGGGAAAATGAACTTCAATTTCACTGCCAGAAACTGAGGATTTTTTTAGTCTAATTCGATATCGAAATCTGATATACATACATATATATATATATATATATATATATATATAATATATATATATATATGACAAAGCGTTTGTTAGTCATTGAACGTAATACTTGATACCTAACGAGAAAATAGAAAGTTGGAGAGATATATAAAATGGAAAAACATGAACGCACAAAAAAAAAAGTTATCAATATTGGAAAAAAATCAAAGCTACAATGAAAGTAACAACTATCAGTAACAATAACACATTATAATAATAATAACAAACCAACAAACAAAACAATAAACACGCAACCCACAATGACAACAATAACAATAACAATTATAAAATAACAATTGAACTTCTACACTCAATAACAATAACAAAATATGCATGAACCATATCAGAAAGACGCAGAAAACCTAATAATAACAACAATAACAAATAAAATACAACAGGAAACAGCATCAAAATACAAAATATACACAACGAAAAACAAACAAACACACAGTTGACAAAAACAATAACAACAAAAATAAAACAAGAACAAGACTTCATCAAAATCACCCAAGAGAAAACAACAACAAAAATATATATCCAAACAAAAACATGCAAAAAAACAACTGATATTAACAAGAACAAGAAAAGTAACAACAAAATATAGAATACACTCGACCTCGGCCTCTATCACAATCACTCGACAGAAAAAAAGAAAAAAAAGAAAAAAGAAAGAAAGAAAGAAAATAAATAAATAAATAAAGACAGAAAGAAAGAAAGGAATAAAGAAAAAGGAAAGAAAAAGAAAGAAAGAAAGAAAGAAAGAAAAAGAAAAAGAAAAGAACAAAAAAAAGAAAAAAAAAAAAAAAAAAAAAAAAAAAAAAAAAAATTATATATATATATATATATATTATATATATATATATATATATATATATATATATATATATATATATATATATATATATATATATATATAATGACAAAACACAACTGAGCATGACAAGAAAAACTAAACCAATAACAATTACAATTCTATAATACGTCCTGAACCTTTGTCCTTCCACTTCGCTATTCATGATAAAGAAAAATAGACAGAAATAATCCAACAACAAAAAAATATATATAAAGCACAAACATAATTAACGAAAACAACAACATGACAATAACAACAAATAAAAATCTCCAATGAATACCAGCATTTTAACTCGCTCTTGATTACAATACTTCAACAGCGAAAAAAAATAGATAGCAATTGAAAACAAAAGAAAAGATTAAATAAAAGTTAAATGGCAATAAAACAAGGACAAAAAACAACAACAAATGAGATTCCTCGACACTCGACTTCGCTCTCCATTACAGGACTAGAAATAAGAAATAAAGATTTTTAAAAAATAAATAAAAAAGAAGAAACAAAACAATGGATGACAACAAAGAATAAGAACAATAACTCAAGATACAAAGTAAAGTTCTTCCTCTCTTTCCTTCTCTCCTCGTCCATGCCTCTTCTCCTCTCTCTTTCACCCTTTTTTACTCTTCCATCTCCCTACCCCCTTCCACCTTTCTGACCTGTTTCCCCAACCCTTTCCCTTCCCCCATCCCTTATCTTCTCCTCCTGCCTCTATCTTTATTCCCACCTCCTTTCCCTACTCCCCTTCATCCATCTTCGACGCTCGATCACAAGACTGACAGCAAAAAAGGCAACAAAGATTTAAAACAAAGAAATTCCGAACTACAACGAAAACAACGATATATAAAAAAACAAACAAAAAAACCCCTAATGACCTCCATCGCAACGGTAACAAAGAAAAATTACAACGAAAACAAATAAAAAACAAGCAAAATCGACCCCTAACGCCCTACCCCGACAACGATATAAAACAAGAAATTCCGAATTACAACGAAAAACAAATAAAAACAAAGCAAAATCGACCCGTAACGCCCTACCCCCGACAGATATAAAACAAAGAAATTCCGAATTACATCGAAAACAAATAAAAACAACAAAATCGACCCGTAACGCCCTACCTCCGACACGATATAAAACAAAGAAATTCCGAATTACAACGAAAAACAAAAATAAAAAAAACAAAGCAAATCGACCCCTAAACGCCCTACTTCCGACACTCGATATAAACAAAGAAATTCCGAATTACAACAATAACAAAAAAAACAAGCAAAATCGACCCCTAACGACCTACCTCCGACACTCGACTCGCTCTCCATCGCAACGGCAACAAAGATATAAAACAAATAAATTCCAAAATTACAAACGAAAAAAAAAAAAGCAAATCGAATTACAACGAAAACAAATAAAAAAACAAGCAAAATCGACCCCTAACGCCCTACCTCCGACACTCGACCTCGCTCTCCACCGCAACGGCAACAAAGACATAAAACAAGTAAATTCCAAATTACAACAAAATAAAAAACATGCAAAATCGACCCCTAACGCCCTACCTCCGACACTCGATATAAAACAAAGAAATTCCGAATTACAACGAAAACAAATAAAACAAAACAAACAAAATCGACCCCTAATGCCCTACCTCCGACACTCGACCTCGCTCTCCATCGCAACGGCAACAAAGATATAAAACAAATAATTCCAAATTACAACGAAAACAAATTTTTAAAAAAGCAAAATCGACCCCTAATTACAACGAAAACAAATTAAAAAAAAAAGCAAAATCGACCCCTAATCACAACGAAAAAGAAAAAAAAATCGACCCCTAAATACAACGAAAACAAATTTAAAAAAACAAGCAAAATCGACCCCTAACGACCTACCTCCGACACTCGACCTCGCTCTCCATCGCGATGCTTCGACACTCGACGCTGGCCTCCTCAATGACGCTCTTGAGGTCGGCCTCCAAGTCGTCGTCGACCGTCCTGCAGGAGAGAGAGCGCGCCCGTGGCCGGGACACTGGTGGGGGAAGGGGGGGAAGGAGAGGAAGGAGGGGGAAGGATGGGGAAGGGGGAGAAGGGGGAAAGAGGAGGAGGAGAGGGGAAGGAAGGACGAGGAGGAGGGGGAGAAGGGCAAAGGAGGAGGAGGAGAAGGGGGAAAGAGGTGGAGAAAGGGGAAGGATGGGGAAGAAGGGGAAGGAGGAGAGAGGGGGGAAGAAGAAGGGTAAAGGAGGAGGAGGAGGGGGAGAAGAATGGCAAAGGAGGAGGAGAAGGGGGAAGGAGATGGAGAAAGGGGAAAGAGGAGGAGAGGGGGAGAGGGAGGGGAAGGGGAAAAAAAGGGGAAAAAAGTGCATGGAGAGGAGGAGGAGAAGGAGGAGGAGAAGAAGGAGAGGAGGAGGAGGAGGAGGAGGAGGAGGAGTAGAAGGAGAGAGGGAAGAGGGGAATGGGATAAGAAGGGGGAAGGAGGAGGAGAAAGGGAGGTGGAGGGGGATGAAAGGTGTGGGATGTCGAGAGGAAAGACGAAAAGGAAAGGAGGTGAGAAAGAGGGTGGGAGAGAAAGGGTAACCAGGAGGAAAGGGGAAGGAAAGGAGGAAGGAAAATTGGATGGAGAGAAGGAAGGAGATGAGAAATAGGGCAATGTAGTGTGTGGGGAAGGGAGGGGGAAGATGGGAAAAGGGGAAAGGAGAAGGAGAATGAGGGGAAAGAGGGACGAGGGAGGGAGGGAGGAGAGGGGAAGGGGGAGGAGGAAGGAGAGGGAGGGGGAAGGGGGAGGAGAGGGACAAATGGGATGGAGGGGGATGGAGGGAAATGGAAAGAAATGGACGGGAAGGAGTAGGAGGGTAGGGGGACGATGCATGGAGGAAGTGGGGGAAGAAGGGTGAAAGGAAAGGAAAATGAGAAGAAAATGGTAAAAGAAATGAGAAAGGAGGGAGTGGGGAAAAGAGAGGATGGGAGAGAGTAGTGAAAAGGTGTGGGTGGAAGGAGGGAGAGAAGGACGAGGAAAGAAGGATTAAAATGGAGAATGAAGGGAGAGGGAGGAACGGGATAGAAGGAGATGGGAAAAGGGCGGAGCATAGGAGGAGGAGGGTGAAAGGGGAAGAAAAATGGGGATAGGGAGGGAGTAGGGAAGAGAAGAGAGGGGAAGGAATGGCGATAGGGGAAAGTGAGAAAGAGGGTGGGAGAGAAGGGAAAGAGAGAGAGAAAAGAGAAAGGAAGATGGAAGGATAAGAGAGAGAGAGAGAGAGGAAGAAAGGAGTGGAAGGAAGGAAGACAGAAGGGAAGATGATGTTGGGGAAAGGAGGGGGGAAGGAGAAGGGAGAAAGTACGCCAAGAGAAAGAGA